TTTACATGATATTAAGTTTCTGAATTAACTTTGCTCTAAATTCAAAATACTCACATTATCGGGAACCAGCAGTTAGCGAAATGGCTGTCGCTGGACTCCCACGTAGTCAACCGCGGTTCACGTCCCGGACGCGGTGGCTTAAAACTCACGCCAGGCGCGTGTGCGTGCATGCCCAAGATCCCGAGAGGAGAATGGAGGAGAAGGGATTGCGGCATGACCATCCCCCCTGGGGGGTGATTTCTCGCTTTCTGTCTCTATGTCTCTGTCTGTCTGGCGAGCACACGCGCCCTATAGCGAAAATCTCTCCAAAAAAAAAAAAAAAGAAAACTCACATTATCCACTGTATCAATTAGAAAAGTGAAGATAGTTTTCCGGCTGGCTGCTCCACCTCACTTGGTACCACTGCGTCCTTCACCTCAACCCCATCCACCATCCGTGCTGCTGCTTTCCAACCCTCCAAAGCACGGCTGCCCCTTCCCTACTAAACAACACTCGGTGCTCATCACCGTCTACCACGTAAGGTTCAAGTTCTCATGTACGCTCAAGATCTGCTCTCCTGACACTCCTCGCCCCCAGAATTTTGCTCTAACTACCTTTCCAGATTTATCTCTCATCACTCCACTGCATAGAGCTGAGCCTTAAGTCAAACCAAACTGTTTTATGGTATTGTACTTGTCATGAGTCTCCTTCTGCCCATCAAAATATTCCCTTACTTTGAAAGCCCAATTCAAATAATACCTCCTTTGTGAAACTTTCTTTCATTTCTATTGGGCTGTTGGAAAAATCATGACACATTTTTTTCTACGCAAAAATGTGTCATGACTTTTCTAACAATCCAGTAAATGCCCACAGCACTTGACTTCATTGAGGGTAAAAATAAATAGTGTAACAGAAGTCCCATGTAAGCCTATAGGGACCTTCCTCGTGAGTGGTGAAGCCTCCCCATCGGCAAAATTGTGTGACCTGCCTGTGAGAAAAAGGGGGCGTCTAAAGAAGTTAGTACAGAGGTTCCTGGAAGCAGAGAAGAGAGAATGGAGAGGCTAGCATAAAGCCTCTTCCTCCCTGGCCCTAGAGTGGCTTATATCTGGACCCCATGGAAAAAGCAGATACTGAGCAAAAGGAAAAGGTACTGTTTTTATAAGAGACTTTTTGGAGAGACAGAGGCCCAAACAATTTTAGATTCATACCCCTAACAGAGTGTAATGCAGAGTGAGGCACTTTTCCTGGTTTTCCACGGAATCCAGCTTGGCCTCCCATGTGATCCAGTATCGCAGCCATACAGAAAGATGCAGAGCGGAACAAACCAACAGAAATAAAAGTGGAAATGGACTTGCTTAGGTGCTCATATGACCAGAATCCTGGGAGATTCTCAGAAGAATGTGAAGGAGACTATAAATGGTCAAAACCCTATGTAAGCCTACTGGGGCAAAAGCTTGTATAATTTTGGTTATTATTATTGATTTCATTTATGTGCACAAATGGGTAAGACCTGGAAAAACATGGGTTCTACTGACATTCATTTATAATCAGAAATGGTTTAAAGCATTATCTTCATGTAATATCTGCTTTGATCACCCACCACATGAGGTGGGTATCATTACCGCCGGACTTCCCCATAGCAATGGATTTAAGCAGAGTGTCTACTGTGGAAATAGTCCAGGACTTGTCAGCTGACCTCAATTTAAGCTCTTACTCTTCTGAATATGGCTGGATCATCTGGATAAATCCCAACTTCTTTGGGCTTCGATTACTTACCTGCAGGATAAGAGTAACAATTCCTCTCGCATGGGGATGTTGGGAAACTCTGCGATGATGAACAAGTCCTATATAATTTAAGAAATTATGAGGTAATGACTTCCTACCATTGCATTCATCTGCTGCTATAAAGCAATTATTCCTGTACATGCCATAACACACCAAACAGAGTGGAAGGAATGGCCCTGCCTTAACCATCTCTTTGTCAACTTGTCTCACACAGAGTGGGTTCTCAATACGAGAGTACCTACCTTACCCCTGTAAATACTGTAGGGGCGATATGCTTCCCATCTCTAGTATGAGCCTGATAAGAAGGAGTCAAATTTTAGAATAACTTGAAATAGATGTCAACCCTTAGAGTTGAAGATTATTTATTAAATTAATCTGATATATAACATATACAGATATAACTAGTCAAATCAAGTTTCCCAGGAACATAACACATAGCAAAGAGCAACAAAACATTAACCATGGAAAGAGAACAGGGGCTGGCAAACCTTTTCTATAAAGAGCCAGCGAGTAAACACTTCAAGCTTGGTGGGTCATATGATCTCAGTGCTGCCATTTTGTCATGAAAACAGCCATACATGGCACGTAAGGGAATGGGAATGACTGTTTCTTATACTTTGGCCCATTTGGCCCATCCAGTGATATTTGCTAGTCCCTGAGAAAGGCTCGACCTGTGGCCAAGAATTCATAACACAGAAAGCAGAAAGTAAAACTAGGTAGTGCCATAGAACGGAAAAGTTGGTATCAATAAGTAAAGCTTTCCATTAAATTACCAAAACTAAAATGGGCACGTATATAATTGGAGAGAGAAGAGGTTTTATGTAAAGGTGTCTGCTAAATTGGATCAAAATGAATTTTATTCTAGAAGCTCAAAAGGAAAAGAAAAAAACCGGGGTTTTAGTTTCTTGAAAACTCACTATGGGACAAATAATGTGATGTAGCTGCTCAGAAAACTGAAAATGCTTTAGGTCCCTTGAATGAGGCAGTGTCCAAACCAGATACGACAACCCCAGAGGGTCGAGGTCATGTCTGTGTCGCCTCTGGGTTCCTGCATCTGCTACAGTGCCTGAACACACAGTAGGTGCTCCTTGATGCACAGGAGGTGCTCCCGGGCAAAAAGCTTCCTGTGCTTTGCTGTGGCAGAAACAGTTTGATCTTTGAGTGTCTTCTTTGTACAATCTCTGTTTTGGATTGAAACATGAAGAAGTGGTGATGGAGTTAAGAGCCGAGAAGCTATAACTGAACCACAGGAGAACTAAAGTGACCCTGTATTATACTTAGTCTTGGAGTCCACCTTTAATAAGAGTATCCCTTAGGAAATCAGTCTTTAACTTCTCCCTCACAATGGATCTAAAATAAAAGCTAATGAGGGGCCAGCAGTTAGCGTAATGGCTATGTTGCTGGACTCTCACGTAGTTGACCGCGGTTTGCGTCCCGAACCCGGTGGCTTAAAAAATTCACGCCGGGCACGTGTGCGTGTGTGCCTAAGATCCCGAGAGGAGAATGGAGGAGAAGGGATTGCAGCGTGGCCATCCCCCCTGCGGGGTGATTTCTTGTTTTCTGTCTCTCTGTGTGTCTGGCGAGCGCATGCGCCCTATAGCAAAAACCTCTAAAAAAAAAAAAAAACTAACGATAATTGTTGAGTCTTTAAATATAAGGCTGTGGACATAGGGAGTGAAATGATTCCACTGTCCTCTCTCCCTGCATGACTAGCTAAGAAGATTTTATCAGCTTAAGCATGGCAAAGCCACACCTAGACCTTCACTGCTTTAACAATAGCATCTAAGAGTTGTCTTGACTAACTCCATTTTGCTTTTGCTGCCTTGTCAATCACTGCTTTACGTTTAAGGGGCTTAAGCCCCTTGCAGAGAACAGAAACCAATCATTCCACCCTATATGCCCAGAATGAAGATTGCCCTTCAAACAGTGATTGGCCCCATGATGACACAACAGTCAGGCCTCTTCAAGATTTTGCCCCAAGACCATAAATAACTTTGTTTATAGATACATGTTCACCCTGACTCCCTGCCCTATATAAGTTCTGTGTCTCATCCAGGATATGGTAATGAACTCTGGCTCACTCTCTCCCCAGTGCTGGCCTCACTAAAATATAAATTCCTTATTCACCAACTCTTATCTTTCAAAGTTGTTTTTTGTCAAGTGGCAAGTGATTTCTAGTCTTTAGAATGGACATCCTTGCAGGTTCCAGCATCAAGGCAGTATCTATGCAAAGAGAGAGGTGAGGAGTTAGGGACAACTACGCTTCAGGCAGAAGGGCAGCAATAGAAGCAATAGAATCTATCCCATGATTCTCCAGTTAGGGCTCAATTCAATTTTCCCTTCCTTCAACAGTATCAATTAAAATGAAAGGTCTCTAAAAACTGAGATGGGTGGAGGTCAACATACCATCTAAGATGTCTTAATTTCAGCTTTTTTTTTTTTTTCTGTAAAAATATGCTCCTTTACCTGGGAAAGAAGAAACAAATGTGCTGACATGTTTAAGGAAACATTTGGGCTATTTCAAATGAGGCTATAAAGGGAATGAATTTCAGGAATCAGTAGGTCTACAGTGGCAGTTCTCATAGCCACCGATAACCCCTTTGCAAAAGAACTAATTATGTTTGGGGAGGAAGTGTGCGCCTGATCAAATAATTAAAAATAAATTGCTCTCCTTGGAAATGCAAATTACCGAGTGCTAAAGCAACCCAGTTGGTCACAAAGACAATAAATAGATGTGTTTTCTCGGGTGTTAGGTGGCACTGATTGATTTCCAATTCCAGTTAAGACAGAGCCTGAGCAGTTTTCTAAACACAGGTGAGAGGACCTCAGGCCCTGTGGGGACAGTAGCTGAAACCCTTAGGCCTTGATGTCTTCCTTCACCCAGACTTTTCTAGGCCAAGGAAAAGGAAACCCGAGGAATTGGTCTGGATCAGGCTTCCCTAATCTCTCAGTCCCCTCAAGAGTAAGAGGAGACGGTGGCACTGTGAACTCGTTCTTCAAATAACTACCACTGCCCTTTCCTACCACCCAGCGCTGACTGGCTGCAGGAAATAAGGCATTGGCTAAGTGGCAGGAGCCAGATGGATCTTCAGGTGGTGGGAGGAAGTGGAGGCTTGGGGGTTGACTGGAGCACTGCTGCACAAAATTTTTTTGCAAGTATTCCTCAGCAATTACAGAATAAGTTAAAAAAAAAAAAAAGATTAAAAATTCTTTTTTTTTTAAAATGTTGTCAAAGAACCAATATTAATTAAGTACCCACTACTATGCAGTGCTCGCATTTATTTATTTAAATTGGCCAGAGGGCACAACCCCAGTAGAGGGAGAGAAAGTGAGAAAGCACCCCCCTCAGGGGATGGTCATACCGCAATCTCTTCTCTTCCATCTCTCCTTCCTTCGAGGACTTTGGGCACTCATGGGCATGTGCTGGAGTGTTTCTCACGCTGCGGGGTCCAGGGCGTAAACCACACAGTCGAACATGTGGGATCTAGTGGCTTCAACCACCATGTCACGGACTATCCCACACAGCTCTCTCTTGAGTGGACATTTGCTGATTGAATGGAGGAAGGACATTGGACTCCTCTTGAAAGAAATGACCGTCTGCTCGGGAAGGCAGATACAGGTAAACAACAGCTTTCCCACACTGCTTACCTAGAGGAAAAGATTACCTACAGTCACTGCAACTGGGCCATTCTGGAATCTGAGTGTTTCCAAGGGAATCAGTGACCATGGAGAGGAGAGGGCAGCCCCAGCTGGGGCTGTGCAAGGCTGTGTGAGGGAGATACTTCACTGCCCAAACAGAGGAAAATATAAAATGCAGTAACGAGGGTATCAAGCTCCTGGGGAAATGCGAGGATACACAAAGAAACATCATGGTGTTTGGCACCACACACACGCTCAATAATGATTTCTTCTGATTCCTGGGGATGTTGCCCAGGACCACAGACACAGTGAAAGACAGGACAAGGATTTGCTGCTCACATCCTGGACAGTCCACATCCTTCCAGGGAGCTTCAAGCGCCTCTCAGGATTCCTCTTCCTCTTCCTCTTCCCTCCTGAGTGTGGTCCTGCCTCCAGCCCTTTTCAAGTCCACCCAGAGGTCCTTGTCTTTCTGTGCATTGAAACTCAGCGTGGACAACTTCCTGGCCTTCCAGTACAAGCAGAGGAGGGAAATAAGCAGAAGAATGAGCATGATGAAGGGGCAGATGCACAGAAAATAGAGGAAAGGGGCCGAGGAGCGGATCCAGGAAAGAAATGTAGACTCTGCAACAGAAGAGAAAAAAATAAAGAGAATAGTTAGTCTCTGACTCATTTGTACTAATCAATTATAAACACTTCTGGGATTTATTTTTACAAGCAAATATATGTAAACATAATGGGGCCACACAGGAGTGGGCCCCTTCATTGACATATCAGAATGGGTCAGAATGTGGGGTAAGGAGGACACCAGAACCCGTGTCTTCTAACCAATTCCTCCTCGCCCAGCACTCTCCACCAGGGGAGGATCCAATGACCTACTTAAGCCTAACAGCCAAAATGAAAAACAAAACAAAAAAGAAAACTTCTCCTTTAATCTTCTTTCCTCAGAAAAGATATCTATAATTCAATCCTCGTTCTCAACTGCATTGCCGGTCCTGAATTTTTAACTGAGTTATTCCCCTGGCTGCTTCCAAAGCGCACACATGGCACTGTCCTTATGAAACAACTGCGCCTACAAAGAGGAGCACCTTCCTCCCTAACCTAACTAAACCTGGCCCTCCAGCCTGCTCCCCTCTCCCCAGGAATCCTCCATGTGGCTCCTTTGACATGCTCACTGCACCTGATCCCTGGGTCCTCCTGGCCCTGCTGGGATCACAGGCTTCCTCTCCCAGCTCCTCCCACCTCGCCGCAGGCACCGTTTGTCTTTCCCATGCCTTGCTCACAGTCTTTGTTTAGGCCTCTCTCATGGCCCTCTAAGCACCCCCTGCCTTTCATTGGTACTCTGTCCTTGAGCCTGTCTGATAGCCCCATTTATTTCTATATCCCCCACAGTGCCTAGCATGTGTGCGCCATACCCTTTGCTGATCCAAGTTAAATTAGATTGACTGCAACCACATGGGCTAACGATAAAGGCACACTGAAGCATATGATCACCCGGCAGCTGCAGTCCACTGGGACGCACTATTGGCGGACAGGCACGTGGAGCACGCACAAGCAGCCCCAACGTGGTTCCTGGTTACACAAATAGGGAAGCAAAGGTGGAGAGGACTGCAAGCGACACAGCTTTCAGGAAACAGCATCCTGAGCTACTCATCAAAGGGCCAGGGTTACAGTCTCTTGAAACAGAAAGACACACAGACACATGCATAAAGAGACACCAACTACTGAATGTAGCCTTCCAACTACACGCATTTATGATTTGATTTTTGACATCAAGGTTGCTCTAAAAAATCTCATGCTACCAGAAGTTTTACTGGGAAATCATAATGTTTTTTTTAAAAAAAGAGTTATTTTATTCAAATTTATTTATTTGTTTATTTATTTTAATTTGACCAGAGAAGGACAAAGTGAGAGAGAGCATGGGGGAAAGTGAGAAAGCAAGCTGTCAGGTCTGGGACTCAAACCATAGTCGGCCATGTGGGAGTCTAGTGCCCTTAGCCACCATGCTACCTGCTGGCCCTGGGAAATTATAATGCTTTAATTAGAAAATTATAATGATATAAGCACTTTCTTCTTCAAGGATTAAGCTATAGGATTCATCCTCTCAGAGATGAAAACAGGGTCAGAGATCATTTGACCAGACTCCTGCCACAAGAAACCTATTTTTGGTCTTGCTGATGCACTTTACTTGTTGAAGGATATCCCTTTGATGAAAATTAAGAAAGAACCTAAACATCTGCTCAACTCCTGAATTTGCAAGCTCCTTGATGGTGGAGTCTGTGTCTTCTGGGACTTTTTATCCTATGCGTCTCTTTGTTGGGCCTTCGGGGAGTCTGATGAATGAATCAATTGCCTGAGTGCATTCCACATAAGGGAACCTAGGGGTGGCTACCACCATGGTACACAAAATAAGGATGATCACTAAACATTGGGCTGGCAGATCTGAACACAGCCGGCAAAGAGTCAGGAGTTCAGTGGCCTGTTTTCTCTAGCCTAATTTGTATTCTCCATCTTTTTTTTTTTTATATGAAAGAATGAGCAATGATAAAGCTAGACTTTGAATTTTTTACCATTCCCTCTCTACATCTACCTGACCCCTCTCCCAAATGACCCTGCTCAACTACAGTTATTCTCCGGGTCTGTACATTTGAAGGCATGTAGTTAGGAGACATAGATTGCAATGCTGAAAAAGAATGGAGCCATAGATCCAGGTATTAAAGAGTACTAGCCTTGGGTATTTGTGCAGAGAAGAGTGTGATCACCTACTGTGTTTCAAAGAGAGCTGAGTTCAAATCCTCCATCTAACTGATGATTACTGACACTGGATAAATGATGTAACCCCTAAAATAAAGCATACTACAGCAAATTTAACAAAGTGCTTAGAGCATTTGTTGAATCAGTGAACAGTAAATATTATTTAGACTACTACATAGAAATCTAGGAAATTCACAAGCAACCTCTTCAAGAGACCAGACAGAGAACAAGACCAAAGATTGCTGAGTCCTTACACAGGGACCACAGCTTGGCCATGTTCTTCCATAGATGAAATCTCTCCTTTAGATCTTGAGCTCTTTGTCTTCAGTCATTCGGCTGGGAATCAAATGATTATTCAGGAGGCTCTGGCTTCCTTTTCCACTCCTTGGAGTTAGAGAATAGTGAGGTGAGAATCCACGACACCAAGTATCACAGTTGCTAGGATGATGGTGTGATGAAGGTGGGATGGGGTTGGAACATAGGTGGCAGAAAGAAATCTGGTGCTTGTCTTTTCTGCCACTGAGACTAATCTTCGGCATGAAGGGACTGCCAGAGGGCTTGACTATCTTAATGGGGAGGTGGCTGCCATCAAAGGAGGCAAGTGCCTCTTAACAGTGCTGAATTGGCCAACAGCTAGCAACTGTCAGCTCCACTGCCTCTAAATTACATCTCCTGGGAGGGCAGTGTTTGCTCTGGCTCCCACAGACACTGTTTCCCACCATCTGCCTCTCACCCAGATCTGGATTAGAATTAGTGACATTCGAAACCATTAAGGTTTGGCATTTTGAATCAGTCCGGGTAAGTGCCCAATGCTCAAAGTATAAGACCTGCAAAATATAGCCAAGAATGTAATGAGAACACTTCATCATGAGGTTTAGTTTATAACTTGCTTCCACCCACAGGTAGACAGAGTATAGGGAGCACTCCTTTTTGCTATTACCTTAGAAATACTAACTTCACAAGAAGAGAGGTGTGGGACAATAGAGGGCCACCAATTCCTCCCCCGATTCCTAGTCTGAAACTTGGATAACTGGCCATGCCATTTTTAGCCATGTGGGAGCTTGGACTCCTGTCAGGAAATAAAAGTGGAGTAAGGTAACCCCATAACCAGAGCACCTCATGATACGTAAGCCTCAGACAATATCCTGTTCCAAGCCAATAAAGACATGCTTGCTCATTCTTTCATCAGGCATTTGTTGAGTCATGTTTCAGGCCTGTCGGAGGCACTGGGAAAACATAGATACACGGCATGGTCTCTCCAGACACTGCAGTGTGGTAGGGACACTTACATCCTTCAAGAATCCACTTTCTAAATAAACCCTTACTCCAATAAAAGCTTAAAAACAGAAATGAGTATCACACTACCACAAGTATTCTAGTCTCCAGAAAGCCTATAGCCTGGCCTACTGATTCATTGCGGCAAATTCTCTAGATTAAGACATGTATGTTGAAGGTCTGAGGGGGAGGTAAGAAGACTTAGGTAGCTGTAGTCCCTGCTGTGGCTTAGACATGTAAGGAAGAAATAGAGCAGAAATGGCAACGTCTATTCCCCCAAGAAATGTCTCACCTTTTCTGTTTACACCTGCATACATGCTCCACAGTTTTACTATGAAGTCCTATAACTAACACACACTGGGATGGCCAAATAGTGGGGAGGGGGAACCATTTGAGAAGTGAAAATTGGTAGCAAATTGTATTTGATCTGGATTTCGTTAACAGGCAGAACTTCTACTTAGCAGGAGTATAATGACGTGGTGACTCAGTAAATATTTGAGAATCTTCTGTAGGCGGGCACTGTGCTAATGCTGGGAAGGAGACATGTATCATAGTCTCTGCCTCCTCTGTGGATAGCCCAAGAGTGGCAACTGATTCGGAACAAGTTGCAAGTGTGATGATTTAAGGTAACTCACTGAGGAAGTGGCACGTAAACTGGTTCTGCCTCCTCTGTGGATAGCCCAAGAGTGGCAACTGATTCGGAACAAGTTGCAAGTGTGATGATTTAAGAGACCAGGTAACTCACTGAGGAAGTGGCACATAAACTGGTACATGCCAGATTAGTAGGTGCTGACCAGGGAAAGAAGGCAGGGAAGAGTGAGAGTGGCACGGGAGGGACAAGATGGCCTCTCAGCTGTACCAGCCATTTCCTACACTTGACCTTCTTTCTTTCTGCTGGCTCTTTTCCTCTGTAATGTAAACGTGCTCAAACCCCTACCATCACCAAAACGAAACAAACAAAAAAGTTAAATGAAAATATCTTTACCTCTTGCCATTTGCTATTGTCATCTCTCCCTTTATATCAAAGTTCTTAAAACAGTAATCTATACTGAAAATATCTCCTTTCGCACTGCTTGACCCACTGCAGTCTGAAATCTCCCATTACTTTTCTATAATTGTCCTATGTTGTTAAATCCAGTGGGAAAAAAATCCAATACTTTCCAATTCCTATCTTTTTTTTTTTTTTGAGGTTTTTGCTATAGGGCACGTGCGCTTGCCAGACAGACAGAGAGAGACAGAGAGACAGAAAGCGAGAAATCACTCCCCAGGGGGGATGGTCACGCCGCAATCCCTTCTCCTCCATTCTCCTCTTGGGATCTTGGGCACGCACCCACACACACCTGGTGCGAGTTTTGAGCCACTGGGTCCGGGACGTGAACTGTGATCGACTACATGGGAGTCCAGCAACATAGCCATTATGCTAACTCCTGGTTCCTCCAATTCCTATCTTAATGGGCCTCTTTGCGATAGTGGAGGCTATTGACTCTCCCTTTCTTCTTGATACCCCTTGGTTTCTGTGATACCACCACATCTCAGTTCCCTTCCTACCTCTTGGCCACTCCTTTCAGTTTCCTTTATAAGCCTTTACTCTCCACCCCCACGATAAACGGTATACTGGTGTTAATATTTCAAGGGTCCACCTGGGGCAGCATTGCTAGTTATAAATTGATGACTTCCATAACTCTGGTGAAGATTCCATTTGGAAATCTTAATGTCTGTTAGATCTTCCTTGACAACTCGCAGGTATTCTAAGCTTATTTCTATCCCAACTTATTCAAAATTGAACTAATCTCTTCCAAAGCCCTCTCATGTATTTGCTTGTTTGGTAAAAAGCCCCATTATTTACCTGTGCTAGAATCCAAATAGTAATCCTTGGTTCCCCCCACTCTGTTCATCCTCCACATACATGTAATCACAATCTAAATCTTGAAGGATTATGCTTCCTACTACGTACTGTCTTCACTCAGGACTATTCAAATAGTTCTCCCTACTCTGCCTGCCTCAACTCACGTTTATTACTACTCCCTGTGGAACTTTCTAAAATACAAATCTGATGATGTCACACCCTTGCTTTTTCAGTAACACCTCATAACTGTCATGTCAGCCACATAGCCTGGTGGTTAAGGGAGCCAGATTCCACATGGCCCACTGTGGTCTGAATCCCAGCCCCAGCAGCTTGAAAAATATGCTGGGCACATGTACATGAGTGCCCCAAGTCCAGCAGGAGGGAAAAACAGAGAACGGACTGTGATGTGATCACATCCCACTGGGAGGTACTTTCTTTCTCTGTCTCTCTCCCTGGGGAGTGCACATGCCCTCTGGCAATTAAAAAGAAAAAAAAATTTTTTTTTCAGACAGAAAGTGAGGGAGTGAGAAAGCACCCCCTGTGGGAAATGGTCACACACAATCCCTTCTTCCCCATCTCTTTTTCCTTTTGGGACTTTGGGCACACACACTTGACTGGCATGTTTTTCAAGCTGCAGAGTCTGGGAATTGAATCATGCAGTTGGCCATGTGGGAACCAGCTGCCTTAAACTCCACACCACGAGCTGGCCCTGAATCAAATGTTTCAAAACATGTTAGCTTCCTTCGCTTCACAAGCTAACCACATCTGAGATGGGCACGATTCCCATCCCACTAGTTCATCTCTTGCCATTATACTACATGGACCATAGTTCTGCCATTCCAACTGTGGGAAGTTCTCTGAACATGACATGAAGTGTCACATCTTACTGTCATCTCACATACCCCTTCCTGTTCCTAACATTGTCTTCCTTTTTATAGGCCCCATACTCTGGGTAACCTTTGCAGATTTGCTCCCCATCCAGCCCTTGGCCCCAGCCCCTCTTCTGCTATTCCCACAGCATCCTAGTAATACTGTTTCGATGATGGCCATTGTTTTGGACTTGATGTGCCACCTGGGCTCTAAACTCTGTGGGAAAAGACTCTGCCATACACAATTTAGTACTCCCAATTTAGTACCTCATATATTTATTTATTGAACAAATTAATATTTTGTCACATGGACGGATATACAGTCACGCACTGCACAGCGACCTTTCAGTCAATGGCAGGCCATGTGTACGATGGTCCCATAAGGAGCATACAGGCCACGCCACATAGCCTAGGTGTGTCATAGGCTAGATCATGTAGGTCTGTGCACGACTCTATGATGTTCACACAACAGTGAAGTCACTAATGACACAGTCCTCAGAATGCATCCCCACAGGCAACCCATGACAGTATGTACCTGTGTGTATGTAATACTTGCATGGATGTGTGTGCACAGAATCTTTGGGGGCATAAAGGGAAAGGGAGGTAACATCTGAGCACGTACAGTGTGCCAGGGACTGTACTAGATACTCGACACACATTTATATTATGATCTTCGTTTTATGAGAAACTTGAGGCTCACAGAAGTCAAGTAACTCACCAGGGTGTGATTTCAGAGCTAGTAAATAGTAGAGCTGTGATTTGAGCCTGGGCTTGTCTGACTCCAGGTCTTAGAATTTTCACCACCCCACACTGTCTCCCCAACACCAAAAAGTAACAGCCAGGTGGAGAAACCCAAATACTACATTACAAAGATTTCCTCGTGAATCCTTCACTTAAGTTACACTGAAATCCTTTATATTTGGAAAAATACAAAGATCACTCAATTTTTAATGTTTCCTTCCCAGAATTCATCTTTTTAAAATGTAGCATTTTATAGGGATTTCCCAGAGATTAAAAATACATATATACTATGAAAGGTCTTATCTACTGCAGAAGAGATGTGATTTTTAATCAAAAGATATATACTTTTTGGGACCAGCAGTTAGCATAATGGCTATGTCGCTGGACTCCCACATAGTCAACCGCGGTTCGAGTCCCGGACCCGGTGGCTTAAACTCACGCCAGGTGTGTGTGCATGCGTGCCCAAGATCCTGAGAGAAGAATGGAGGAGAAGGGATTGCGGCGTGGCCATCCCCCCTGGGGGGTGATTTCTCGCTTTCTGTCTCTCTGTCTCTCTCTGTCTGTCTGGTGAGTGCACGCGCCCTATAGCAAAAAAAACTAAAAAAAAAAAAAAAAAGATATATACTTTTTGTAGTTATTATCCATTTATTTTACTACAAAAACTGCTGAATCTACAGAGCCTATGAACTATAGCAGGAAAATATGAATGAAATGTGCTCAAGAGTATGGGACTTCCTATACTTGTTGTAATTAAAGAAAGGCTGACTGGAAAACAAACAAGCAAACAAACAAAACCCCACAAAAACCCAAACAAGCCTTGGTGGAAAATTCTGCTAAAGAATTGACAGGGGAAGATAATGATGAACCCCCAAGAAACACATCAGAAAACTCTGACATCCACTCTAGATGCCTCACTGGGGCTGAGATGCAGCTATCCCTACTTTTGAGAAGTTCCCTACATTCTAGACAACAGTCTTTCCCTTCTAAGGAGTGTCAGCAAAGCAAGTCAGTGTCTTAGAGATGTTTATTCATCATTTCCATTTGCCCTGACTACACCTCTACTTCTCCAATGGCCCTTTCCTAAGTTGAGGTTAGCTTAGAGTTTACCTCTCACCTTCTCTTGGGCCCTACCAGAAAGAAGTGGCTGAGAGAATGAGCTGGCTACACCATTTGATTTACTGGCCTTGCTGGAAAAAAAATTTTTTTTGCCTTAATAAATGCCTATTATGGGGCTGACCAGTGGTGTGGGGGTTAAGGCACCAGACTCCCATCAGAAGAGGAGCTGGTTCGAGTCTTGGACCTCATGGCTTGCTTTCTCACTTTGCCTCTCTTTCTCTCTCCCTGTCTCTCTCTGGTGAGCGTACATGCTCTATAGCAAATTAAAGTATAATAAATAAATAAATAAATAAATGTCTAATAAGTAAGTAAATGCCTGTTATATCTCTGGCACTGTAGGATTGCCATCATCCTTCACAGTCTCTGGCACCACATCCATCCTAACGGTGAGCACACAGCAGAGTAGGACGACCTTCGTTCACAGAGAAGGGTCACTCTTTGGCCAATGATGTTCAAGTAACTGGCCCCCTTTCTAGAGCCGTCCTTTCAGGCTCCCTTCCTCCTGTAATGCCTTTCAAGGTACAACTAAAAGAGGCACACCAAGTGACCTTTGCTGTCAAAGTCCTGGTAGTTTGCTGAATACATAGAGATAAGGAAGTTGGCATTTATTTGTTAAGAAGTGTTTTGCTTTGTTTCCCTTTTTTGACTCAGAGAACATTTAGATGTAGCTGGTTTAGGTTCAATCAGATGGAAATGTAAAGTCATCACCTCTCTAACCTTTTCTTCCCTCTTACTGTGGATCAGCATCCTGAGACTGGAGAATGAGCCAAGAGGTAAAGATGTCTGCTTCACACATTATCTGGTTATTTAAATGGATGTAATGTTGATAGCTTTTTTGTTTGAGAGGGGAAGGGTGGAACAGATCAGATGCTTCTGATATTTTTGTGTCCTTGCCAAAACCTCACGTAGACCTTGTTTGTCTAAATGAGTTACTATTGAGAGAGATAGCAAAGTCATCTCATTTAGGGAATCTAAAAATCATCTTCAGCCTGAAAGAGCAAAACATAGCTGGGAGGAAAAGCAGCAAAGGGGAGACAAGTATTCTGACCACAAGCCCACGGCTCCTTAGCCTCTAGTTACCTGATGGCAAGACGGTGAGCACCATGCGCTGTGACTCATCTGATGCTTGGCTGACCCACTTGCTTGGGTGGCTCTGAAGCTGCCACTCCGCTACCCTGCACCAGTACATTCCGGCATCCTCCATCTCTACTGAATGAAGTCTCAGGACAAAGTCTGTCGGGGACGCACGGTAACAGTGCAGGCGCCTCCTGAGTGTCTCATCACTGTACTCCAACAAGCCATCGTGCTGCAGGTGCACCAGCATTTTACTTCCAGCGGTGTCTCTGGTCCAGTACCACATCACAGAGTACAGGGAGGCAGGGCTGCCGGAACTCTCCAGGCTGCAGCGGAGGTCCACCCCTCTGTGCTCGGTAGCATTTTCTGTCCAGTGTACTTCGGAGACATGGACCTTACTTCCTAGAACACAAAATGGCAGAAAGTTAGAGAAGAACATAGTTACTCAGATTGCATACTTCCTCTGAAAAATTTAGCTCTCACTGGGAACCAGCAGTTAGCGTAATGGCTATGTCACTGGATTCCCACATAGTCGACCGTGGTTCACATCCCGGACCCGGTGGCTTAGAACTCACGCCGGGTGCGTGTACGTGCGTGCCCAAGATCCCGAGAGGAGAATGGAGGAGAAGGGATTGCGGCGTGGCCATCCCCCCTGGGGGGTGATTTCTCGCTTTCTGTCTCTCTCTGTCTGGTGAGCACACACGCCCTATAGCAAAAACCTCTCAAAAAAAGAAAATCTAGCTCTCACTGGGAGAGCCCATCTTATATTCTTTCCTTTAAAAACATTTTTTTATTTAAAATTTTATTTTATTTTATTTTAAATTTTGACCAGAGAGGAACAGAGTGAGAGAGGGAGAGGGGGAGTTCTCGCTTTCTGTCTCTCTCTGTCTGGTGAGCACACACGCCCTATAGCAAAAACCTCTCAAAAAAAGAAAATCTAGCTCTCACTGGGAGAGCCCATCTTATATTCTTTCCTTTAAAAACATTTTTTTATTTAAAATTTTATTTTATTTTATTTTAAATTTTGACCAGAGAGGAACAGAGTGAGAGAGGGAGAGGGGGAGTAAGAGAGAACATGCACACATTTGGCATGTTTTTCAAGCTGTCGGGACCAGGATTTGAACTACAGTTAGCCATATAGGATCCAGCTCCCCCCACATAGTACTTAACCACTACACTATGGCCCAATCCTTCATCTCTAATATTTTTTCTTGATTTCTATCCTTTCAGATTTGCCAGAACATTCTGCACTGGGAATCAAACCAGTCACTTTCCCTCTTTAACCCTACCTCTGTCCTGCTGGACCCTACTATATAATACACCCAGCCTCAGCTAGGCCCTCTGGTCAGCGGCTTAACTTCCTCTTCTACTTCACAGAGGTGCTAGTCAAAGTTTTCAGTATTCCCCATCAAGTTGGGCATTCCATCACTGCTTCTCATTCTTAGCAAACCACCCTCCTCCCATACACCCAGGTATTATGTTGAGTATAGAGGCAGAGGGGGAGGAGGCTATCCAAGACTGAACATTCTGATAGAGTGATAGAATACCACCCAAAGGACTATTTAAATTATTGGATGAAACTAAGCTTTAAACGGATTTTGATATTTACTTTCCTCCCCCTTCACCTCCCCCAACCAGCAGGTGAGGACTTGAAATGACAGCCAAAGTAGTTATGAACAAAATAAAAAATATATAGTGTTCATTAAATTTTCAATTCTACTGCAAATGCATTTATTAATTTATCTTTAAAAGAAGCTGGTCTGATCTCGGACTCCTTTTTAGTTGCCGTCATTATTCCCCTTTCCTTCATTGAGAAGCACGTGAAATAATAGTTTATGTGCTCCTGTTTCTGTTTCCTTGTTTCAAATTACACCCTGTTTTATTGAAATCTGGCTTCCAATCCCATGGTTATCCTTGGCCAGGGCCCAGCTTCCCAGCTCAAGAGACCCTCATGTGTTTTTTGTCCTCTCGGAGGTTTTCAGCGTAGAAGTTTATTTTTTACTATAATTTTCTCCTCTTTTGACCTCCTCAAATTTCCCTCATACAATTCTGACCCGCCTTTCTTTCTTATTATCTTTTCCTGGGAGCTCCTTCTTAACTCACACCCTAAGCCAGGATGTGCATACAACTGGCAAACCATAAATATGTGTTATTCGACACCCTCATTTATTTATTTATTTATTTATAAGTTTTTGTTTTTAGCCATAGAGTCTGCATGCTCTCTGGAGAGAGAGAGAGACAGTGAGAGGGAAAGTGAAAAATCACCCCCCAGAGGAGATGGCCACACTGCAATCCCTTCTCCATTCACCTGGGATTTTGGGCATGCATGCATACATGCCTGGTATGATTTTCAAGCCATCAAGTCCAGGATTCAAACAAGAGCTGGCCATGTGGGAGTTCAGTGCCTTCACCACCATATCACCTGCTGGCCCTCACCCTCAGTACTTTAAAGAATTTGAATTAGTTGCAAATATTCCCAAATTGGGAGCTGACCTCAAAATTGAGTCTAGGTATTTCTTGATCTGACAGCACCGAGCAGGCACTTCCACACGGGAAAGCACTGGCTTAAGCTCAGACGTGGCTGCCTCCTTAAGAGGGGCACGTATGTGAAGATTTTGGCTTGGACACCAGGAGATAGGGATGCCAGTCAAAGTCAAACAGATGGGGACTGCAGAGTGTGAATCTTGTAGGGTAGCAGAGAAGATAAACACAATTTTGGCACTGCTGAGTGTGAGTGTGAGGGCCCTGGGGCATCCCAGTGGAAATGCACAGTAGGCAGTCTGGTGTAGAGGCCTGGAGCTCAGGAGATGGGGGCTAAGCATAAAAACTCAAGAGATCATATGATGGTGGTAGCTGAAACCAGAGCAGTGTTTAAGTATTTCTTAAAAAAGAAGACAACAAGAAGAAAAAGGGCACAGGATCCTTCCCTGAAGAGTGGTGCATTTAGCAGGGAGAGGAGGAGAGGCCTGTTTTGCTCCTGTTATGCCAAGCCTGAGCTCCTGAGGGGCAAGAATGGGGCCTTAGTTACCCTTGCATTCTCATTGCCTACCACAGAGCAATGTTCAATTACAATCTTATTTTTTGATGTTACCTTGAAAATAGAATTGTAAGCACCAAATTAGATCAACTTATTTGCATTGTGCTGCTGGGTCCTGGCCAGCTCCTAAACCTTAGCTGTGACATTCGTTTAATTTTAATCAAGATTGGAGGTGACCGCACCAATGCAGAGAGACCTAATCAACCCTGCCCACGTTTAGGCCGCTGCACTGTGAGACCAGCATAAATGGATGGAACTTCCATTACATTTTTAAAGATCTCCTGAGGAACAGGAGATTCCCTCAGTAAGCCATTCCAACAGTTAACTACTCTTATTTGCCTTATGTGTAGGCAGCCAAATGTTGAAAAGCAATTTCTCCACACATCCCCATAGGGTTGTACAGTTTCTGTTCACAGTGGGAGAAATATGCTTCGTATTACTCTTTCTCTGCCAAATTACAGTAGAGTCCCACTGGAATGACACAGCTTGTTATTATAGAGATCTGGAGATACGATACCCTGGGTGGCTCTGTGGAGACCAGGCTACTGGACTGATAAGCAAACCAATCAAAAGGATCTTGCTCCCATCTGAGCTCACACGATGGTCTGCAAGAACCACAGCCCATTCACCTTAAGCGACCTCCTCTTCTCTGGTGGGTTACCAAGTCCTGCAGTTATTTGTAGGTAAACACTATTCCTATGACTCTAGGCCATACTTTTACTTCAGAGACCAACCGTCCAAGAGAAAATGGCAATCCTACAGAGATGTGTGAGAACGCACTCACACGGCTTACCTGTAGGCTTGAGTCTCAATTCCGTTAGCCCTGACTTCTTTTCTCCAAGCTTGTACCAAGTGCCATTAGTAAACAAGAGCCATTCCTCTACAGCACAGTGATATCTCCCCTGATCACCATCTTCCACATTCAGAATATGCAGCTGAAAGGCGTCTTGAGAAACTTTCTCCATGTGAAATTTTTGTTTTCTCCGTGGAGTGTGAAATTCATCCCCATATTTTACAACATCACTTTGGTCCATTTCCAAGATCTTCAGCCAGGATGCATTAGTAGAAACAGGAGAAAAGTACCAAATAATGGCTAAGTGAAGGTTTCCAGTGGACCGGGACAAGATGCTACATTCTATGTCAGTGTTGGAGTTGATGACCATCTCTTGGACTTGACTACTTGAGTTCAATTTTAGCTTACTCTCTAAATGAAGAGAATGGAAACAGTTACTTTGCTAGAAAATAGAGTTTTTAAGGTAGAAGTGAATTAGAAGTCAAGTAGGGCAATACTTTCTTTTTTTTTTTTTTTTTTTTGGAGGGGTTTTCACCAAAG